ATATATATTTTCTTTGGCTAATCTCTTCCTCTTCTTTCATCCAGTCCCCCACCCCCTTGACAGCCGTCCGTCTTTTCCACGTAGCCATGCCTCTGTTTCTATTTTGTTCATCAGTTTATTTTGTTACATCACCTAGTTCTTAATCTGTCCACAAAGCAGGAGATTTTGTCTGGATCATTTGTGTAACCCCCATAAAACTGTACCACATCTACTATATTTATTGGAAACATTGTTTTTCCTTTGGAAGAAAAAAATAATTGAACTGAAAAATTCTGCAAAATCTTTCTAGTCCACTCCTTTTAGCAGAGGAGGAAATGGAGGATCCAAAAGGAAAAACTTATTGCTTTAAACCACAGAGCTGGTTAATAGAATTCAGAAATCAACTGTTTTATTGAAAATTTATTACTTTTAGGTTTATAATGTACTCCTGAATAAATACTGAGTGAATCAGTACGTTTTTCCACATCTACTCAGTGTATATATAGGAATGGGCAAATATAGATTTACAGTTGTGAGTACGGAAAAGTGTTTATTCTTGTATTATTATTTATCAATTATTGTATTATCTGTATTACAACTGTAAACCTACTTTCGTCCACTCCTGTATAATTAATTTGCTTAATACTGTGGTGATATCAGGGTAAGACTTGAGTCATCTTTTAAAATACTTTATACAGTAAACTGGGTGGCAGACATTGTATCCAGACCATCACAAGTCTGAAGAAAGTGATGTGATGATAGAAGGAGGTTTGAGAAGAAGCTTCGTGAAGGAAAAGGACGTTAGGTGAGGGGAAGTTAAATTAAGATAGAGGAAACAGATTTAGTACAAGCAAAGAGACTTTTTAAAAAAATGTCATGCATTAGAGAACATCAGGTAGTTTAATTTACCTAAATCATGGTGTTGTTGAATGGCAACTGATATTGTGAGCTAATGTGTTTTTAAAAAAAATAAATTATTTTTCAGTACGATATTAAAGTATTTTCTTAGTGAGATCACACCACTCACTTTCTTATTACTTATTTGCTATCAAATATGAATGAGCTAAAGAAAAATAATATATAAAAACAGCCTAAAAGTGTTTACATTTTTAAACGTTTTATATCATTATTTTATACATTTAGAAATAGAAGGGTTTTTGCTTCCCAAAGTAATTCAATGTTTTAGGGTTAAAAATGAACTATTTCATTGCTCAGTGTTATGGAGATAATGTTACATAAAGTACCCAGGACTCTTGAACTCAGAAATGCTGGGCTCAAATTCGATGAGTTAATGGTTATAAGAAGAAAGTCTGACTTAAAATAAGCCCTCAACTGGTAGTTATTATTTTTACTGTTATGACTGTTGTTACTGTAGTGCAATGAAGACCAGTAAAAACAAATATTTAGAACATTTTAGAAAATATTAATTATTATTCATAAGTAATCATATATATGTTATATGTTGATACTTTTATGCCAAGTATGATTATCATTCACACTGAGCAGGTTTGAGAGGATCATTTTCTGAACAATCTCTGTTTTTCATGTATCTCTGTGTGTACTTCCCTGCCAAATTATTAATTACTTTTTTCTGTCCTGCCTCAAACATTTTCTAGTTTCCAACTGTTTTTGTAATTAATAACTTTTTTTCTATAATTAGTAACAGTAACCATATTCAAAGTTTCGTTGCACTGAGCTGTTGGATTCTATTTTGGTTTCTATTTTTCCCATTATACATTTCTATTTTTAAGCCACATGACAAAAATAAAAAGTTCCCTTTAGGCTGAAGCTTGGAGACATGATACTGTCATAATTATATTTTCAAACAAACTAAAAAAGTAAACCACATATTTTTAAGTTAAAACAAAATTCCTCCCCCCTGGCTTTCTCCAATACCTCCACTGGGGAGTGGAAGACAGCTCATTTCAGAATGTCTGGCAATCAAACATTACATGGCTTACCGGGGTACAAAAGAACTATGGATGTTAAAGTATTGATTTTTGTTATTGTTGACAAATCACACTGTCAAAATAACTTCAACATATCATCTCCGTGCGTCCATACTTAAATTATGAGGTGGTATAACCAAATGTACACAAATTACAGAGAAGCCTCGGGGAGAATTAGTGCGAAATCCCCACGATTTGTGAGGGGAAATTTTCAGTTAGTCTTTTGCTAGAGTGAAAAGACTGTCAAATATGTAATGTGTACCATTCTCTTTCCAGCTGGCGCTGCTGGGTCGCCTCATTCAGCCAATCAGTAATATCTAAAGCTATGCAGCACGATAACATAATGGCAAGATAATCCTAGGAAAATGAGCAACTAGTTAGAGTATATTAAGTTATAGTAAGCCATTATAAAGAGTTTAATTGGTGCCAGGCACTATTATTAATGCTTTACGTTACACTGAAGAAGAAAAGGGATTTAGAGATAATGCAACCAACAGTAAAGAACAAAGTAAAAAAAAAAAAAAATAGCAGAATTGGGGTTTACAAAAAAAGGAATGAAGATTGAAATAATAAGGTGCCAAAAAGATACAGTCAAGTGTTGTGGGATAAACATATCAGACTGTTTCAAGTCCATTTGAAAAGAGTGCATAATATGTGACTTCATATTTCTAAAGCCATCGTAGTCAACTGGTTCAAAATTATATCAAGTATATGTTATGTCCATCATTTTTTATTTTTATTTTACTGGTTGTGAGTACATTTTCTACTCCCCTGAACTAAAGTGCAGAATCAAATAATGCAACTTAAGTCATGTGCTTCTTTGGTATTAATGTTTTAATCATTCATTCATTTAAACATATTTGGCAAGACAGTCTATATATAGAATGCCTCTGGTCAAATCCAGGCTTCACCACCAGTGAAAGTGAGTAAATACCTCATCTCTCTGTGCCTCAGTTTCCTCATATGAAACTTGGGGATAATTAATAACAGGTACCGCATAAGGTCTCTGTGAGGATTAAACGAGTTAATATATACAACCTGCTTAGAACAGTGCTGAGATAGTAAGGGCTATAATCGTGTTAACAACCAGGAAAGCATTGCAGTGCCTGTGCTCGTGTTGCTTATAGCCTAGAGGAGAAACAGCCTCCTAGCACTCTGTTTAGAACTCAGCTAGGACACTCACAAATATTTGGTGCATAAAATGTCATTAGCTCTGTGATGATAAGTAACCAGGAGTGCATACATGCATTTAAACAGGAGAAAGAAAATCAGGGAACTACTTTACGATGGCTCAGTGGATTGAGCATCCTCCCACGGACTGAGAGGTCCCAGTTCGATTCCCAGGCAGAGCACATGCCCATGGTTGTGAGCTAGATCCCCAGTAGGGGGTGTGCAAGAGGCAGCCAATCGATTTTCTCACAATGATGTTTCTGTCTCTCCCTTGTCTCTCTCTAAACAATCACTAAAAACATATTTAAAAAATAAGTAAGAGAATTTATAAATAAATAAATAAAAACAAGAGAAACAAAAATTATTCTTATGGCAGATGTGGCATTTATTCAAAAGGTACCCCTGAGGTTGTTCTAGCAAAATGCAGTGCAAGGCTGACCCAGGCTCCTTTTACAGACTGCCCTGTCCACTTGTGCGGTCACAGACCCATTCCTGCACTCTCCTGGGTCTGGTTTCCTAACTTCTAAAATGAAGTAGAATAAAGTGATCTCTAAAGCTCTTGTTCACATATAATATTACATGAATACACTTGGTAAATTTATCTGGAGGAGTGAAGATCTCAAGATAGGATTTGAAGGGTCAAAAAAGGCATCAGAACATAAGGACAGTACAAAAACAGAGGACTGATTTCACACTAACAGAGTATGAATTTATAGTTGGAGAAAATGAATACCTTAGTTTGGGGCTGTGATGATTTTTTTGCTGAAGTCTCAAGGTACTCCACTAACATATATGGTACGTATTTGTTATCAAAGTGGTCTCTCACAATGCATGTCATTAAACAAAAGGAATTAAATAACAGATGGCTTATTCCTTATAACATGTGTCCCTAATCATGTACCAAATACAGTTCAGAATAATTCAGTATTAGGAAAAAGTAATACTCATTTAGAAAGACAAAAATATTTTTATTTGCATGCATTACAAAGCATGTAAAAGAAAAAATTCTAAATTGAAAGAAAAAAATTAGAAGAAAAATAATTTCTAGTCTTTAAAACAAGAGTTTGCATTATAAAGGGAAGTGTTTTTTCTTCCCTGTCTTACTTTTTAAATTTTTATTGTTGAAAATATTACAGATGTCCCCCCTTCCCCTCACATTGAATCCCTCCTCCCCACTCCCACCACCCTCCTGCTTTCCCCAAATTATTGTCTGTGTCTATTTGTTATGCATATATGCATATAAATTCTTTGGTTTATCTCTCCCCATCCCCCCTTATCCCCTTTCTCTCTGAGGTTTGTCAGTCTGTTCCCTACAGGAAGTGTTTTTTAACATGATAAAAAAATGTTAAATTACATCCAGTACTAATTCTCTATACATTTAAGAAACAAAGGGCTAAATGTTTCCTTCAAAGAATGAGCAACTTCAAAGCTGGAAAGACAACATAGGAAAGAGATTAGTTTTAAGTGGAGTAATGGTTTCATATACTACATTGACACCAGGTTATGTATGGTTACTTCATAAAACATTAACCACAGAGATAGCATGCCAAACAATATTTAATATATTTTTAAAATTTAACAAGGGAAGTATTTCTGAATAAGTAAAATGTAGAATAATTAACAGATATATACTGTTGAATGATGCTACTTCATGTGTTGCAGTGTATAACAAGGAAGAGACCCTGAAATATTTCTAAATGAATGGTTCTGGAAAAAAGTAGTAACAACATAAATATTTCAGTAAAATAAAAATTGAACAAACATGAAAAAGGGCCTCTGGAGTTTAAAATTCTTATTCCTAACTTTTACATTAGCTATAGTAAAGCCTATATACCAGCCCTTTTAAGAATATACACACCACGTCTATTTTTCTTGATCAGCATTCCATGAAGTTCACCATACCTGAGGATAGCTGTCAGTCCTTGGCAGAACTGATATATCATAGGTGGCAGCAAAATGGCTTTTAGCTTGTTGTATTTGGCCATAACGTTCTCTTTTCCTCCACTTGGCCCTTCGATTTTGAAACCAAACCTATTTTTTTAAAGAAGTAGAATTTTAGCTAAAGAATAATTGATAACACAAATGTGATGTTAAAATAAGAAAGGTAAATCGGGTCAATAAAAATACTAAGAAAATAAGTTTCTTTATCAGAAAAAAAATCCACATATTTCACTTTCTATTTTACCTTGATATAAGTAGTATGTCCATGAGGCAGTATAAATTAATATAAAGAGACAAGAAACTTTCAAAACATTTATTTAGTATGTCTGAGTCTCTGTTTGTTCATTTATGGAAAATAAAAAGGAATTAGATTATATGATCTTGAAGACTCCGTATATCTCCAAATTATCATACACAATCCTCCTCTCAGAAAATGCTGCAAGTCTGAAAGATATTCATGACTTTTTAATTTGGGGTTATGCACATACTATTAACCCAGCCAATTTATAACCAAATGAATATCTGAGTCTGTCAAAACAATTATCTTTAAAGCATTTCACAAAGTGAAGATTTTTCTGGGTTGTAGCCATACTTAGATACTCTCAAAAAAGTTTAAACATAAAAACTACAGGTAAAAACATATTGCATCAGCAGAAATATCATAATTATTTAGAATAGAAAATATTAAGATTACATATAATACTGAGCATGATAAAAACAGAAGGTAAAATGGAACGATCTGAAGTTCAATTATGGTTTTAAAATACACAAATGTGTTTATTACATAAATTATACTATTTATAACATTTATCTTCCCTTATAGAAAATGCTCAGCAATCATCAAAATAATTTCTCCAATTTAAAATATTTACAGGTAATATAAATAATAAAAGAAATAGAGCAGATATAACCAAGTGTGAAGGAAGCCTGTGAGTTAGTGGGGCTTCTACAGGTCACTACGCTCTCATTCTAATTTGTCTAATTACATAGTAATACTATTTATCACAACAACCGTCTTCCAAAGAGAGTTAAATATTCACTAATTCATACTTAAAGCTCTCCAGAATTTTCATTTTAATATTTTCATGTATTAAAGGGAGATACAGAAAATGGTCTTCAATATGTATAAATTGATATCTTTATAAGCAGTTTCCAGGAAGCTCTTTAGTCTTTACAGAACTATGTTCACAATATAAAAGGAAAGAAGCTGGAAGTCAAATATAAAAATGCAAATTTTAAAAAGCCTTTTATTAAAATTACTCAAAATTTTTACTTTTTAAAATTCAATTATAATCATACTTACAGAAATGTATGAATAGTCCATTTGATATGTAAGCATACATTTCAAATTTAAGATGCCACTTCGAAGAGTTTTCAGCAATTAAAACAAGGCAAAGAAAGCTACCTGTTCAGTATGGTTTCTTAGAACTGCTCACAAATGTGTATTATCCATTATGCCCAGGCTCAAGACAACATAAACAATCACACCAAACAAAACATAAGTCTTTGCTGTCTCCACAGATGGGCACCAAGAGCATAGTAAGGAAATTTAGTAGTAAGGTTTTTTTTTTTCCACTAAGAAAAAGACCTTGACAATCTCCTTAAAATGGATGCCAATTACCACTCTGATGTGAAAAGCAGAAAAAAAAACAACCTGAGTAAATTAGGTTCAGGTTGGCTCTCTGTGCATGTTCTTAGACAAAAATTAATCGTGACTTGATGAAATGTTAAGGGGAAAACACGCATTGTGCACAGCTGATCACTCTGTAGGCAAACATATTTTTCTATGCTTACAAGTATAAGTGATTTAAATACATGAACACAAGACAAAAAAGAACACATGCGGGGCCAGTGTTAACACTTGACAATTCTAAAATTTTTCGTTAGCATCAACCTTCTATATATTTACTTCCTGAACTAAGATGAAGTAACCCTTTGCCTCCACAACTAAAGAAAAAAACCTGCTGCTTGTTATTCCTGAACCACCAGATGTTGTGTTTAATGATGTAAAGGCCTGACGATGGCTTAATCTTCAGAAGAAATACTGTTACTCCACTAGGAGCAACATGTTTCACTCTTTCATTCATTTCTCTATTCTAGTAGTTTATGGGAACTTCAAAATTCAATAGTTCCTATTTAATAAAAACATGCCAAAGTAAAAGGTCGTTCTTCCGAATTACTGTTATTTGGAAGCTAATAAAATGTAGTGTAAGAATATCAACTCTAATAAAATTAAAATATGCCTAAGGGGTAAATATTTGCCTGGCATAAATTTTCCTGTTCAAATGATTAAAAATTTAGTATATTAAATCATCCAATTTGATCATTTGAATGCAACTTATAAATATAATTGAATATATATTTTAAAATGTATAATCATTATTCCTATTGCCTCTGCAAAAACTTTGTAAGTTATATTAAATTATTAAAATGGAAGAACATCACTGGAAACAACTAAGGTTAGAAACTGTAAATGAGTTATATAATCCTTCTTTAATTATGTATAGTAAAAACAGATTTGGTATACTTAACAATGGGAGTTTGTAAAAGTATTTCTTTTTTTTCTTTCTTTTACTATTACATTAACTTAAATAAAATTATAGATTTACAGGCCACTATACATAAACTTATCAATACCTGGTATATAACTTAAAAAACAAAAAACCTCAATAGCTGATAAAATAGTAAAACAAAGTAAAATATATGCATTATTAAATTAATAACTTTGATTCTGTTTTTTTTGCCCTTTAAAATTAATTTTTAAAATCAGAGATATGTTAAGCTATTCTGTTCTTTTAAAATAATTGATGGGTTTAAGTCTATATAGTAACTCAAGCATTCTTTGTTTTATGTGAGTTATTAAATTCTTTGCAAGTAAAAAGACCTACATGCATGCACTACATTGTTCTACATCTTCAGATAGTTCCTTTGTGGCAAAATTCAACTACTGAATTATTCTAACACTATCCTCTCAACCCCACCCCCAACCACCCAAGGCCTTCATATGGCTCCTACCTGGACCCTGGCCTCAGTGAGCTCTGTCCTCAGAGCTAGCTGTTCTCTGACGTATACATCTGGGTAATGAGTTTTCTGAAAGACCTTCTCCAGCTCCTCCAGCTGCAAGCTGGTGAAGGTGGTTCGGTGTCTTCGCTTCTTACTGCTGGATACATTGCTGTCACATTTATCCCCAAGTTCATCCAGTTCTCCCTTCTCTGGCATCCCTTTCACGGGAGACATCCGGAGACTGTTACAGTTGTCCATAGCTCTATTTAGTTCGGTGTGAAGTGGCTGTCCTTCTACCTTAGTGATCCCTGTATAGTTCACTGTAACCAGGGGGAAAACAACAGATCTCAGCATCATGAAGCATTTCAGTGAAGGAATTAAGCTGAAGTAATTTAGAGCATCAGGAAAGCGGTCTGCTAATGATTTATTGTGCCAGTATTAATTCAATCATCACATTATGTACAATTATTAATCCACTTTGGGCAGGTTTAAAACCATTTAAAAATGTGTACATGAAACTCATATAATTTGCCAAAACTCACAGTTCTATAGGGCTAATGCAATGTTTGTAGACATAATTTATAATTAAATTAAAGTAGTCAAATTAAAAGATGCTCTAGATTTAAGAAACTTAAATAAGCATATTTTTTGAAAACTGAACCAAATTTAATGTAAGTTATATATTTATTCACAGCAGACAAAATTAACTACTTACATGGCCCAAGAAAGGTATTTCAATTGTAAATAGCATCTGTAAACCAAAATCCAAACTCTTTCCAAAAGTTATCTTTCCCCTCCATACAAAAGCTATAGATTTCTGATATGATATTGTTTCTACTATATTTTGAATATTTCAACTGTATATGCATGTCTACATTTCAAATATTTTTTTCAAAAAGTGATCTGTATTTAAAATATGACTTTTTATATTAGTTTCTGAAAGTGTTTCTTACAGAAAAGAAGACTTAAGTAGACTTCTGCAGCTTACAAACTCACTTGCAGTTCTTTCTAAATGTCATTTTTATTCTTAACTTGTGAAATATGTTTTAAGACAGAAAGCTTTATTTTTCCTTTTAGTAAAGCACAGAAATTAAAACACCTATTAAAAGATTACAAAGAATATCATCTGGCATTCTGTTTAGGGATGCTTTAATTTCAGTGGTTTCCTCCAGATTTGATTGCATGGTTGGGGTACGATATAAAACAAAAATGTATCATATGGTGCCACACACATACACACTCACACACACAAATTCAATTAATGCATATAATAAAATGGGAGGCACTTTGGAAAACAAAGTAAACCCAGCCAGAATAATAATTTCCAATGAGCTGTCATACTTTTTTTTGCTTTTGTCTGTATTTAAATGCTCTCATAAGGTATTTTTACAACTGCTTTAGTCATTATACCAATATCTTGAACTTTAATATCTATATAACTGAAATGCTGAACAACTTTTGTGCAAAAGAAGATGCGATATAAAACTACCCATAAAGAAGATCCATGACTGACTAACAATACGGTTTTGTCTCCGTGGGCAGAGTTAAATGGGGAACTGCGGTTATTAGGGAAAGGGGGAGGGGAGGCAGTCTTGAAACTAAGGGCCATCTCAGGAGAAAGACAGGAACTTTCCAAAATTTAGCAGACTGCTGCCTTTGTACATCTTACTTCTTTCATATTAAAATTAGTCCTAGTAGTATGATGTTCATTTAAAAGCTAATGAAGTGTCAAAAGCCACCTATTTCTCTTCTTATTTTGTATTTCCGACAATTTAAAATATTATTATTGAGTTCTATCCAGCAGTCAACACAGGGCATTACAGAATCACTGAAAAAAAGAAAGAAAAAAAAAATCCTGTTCACTCAAATAACTTTAAGTATGCATCTAAGAATTACAAAAATCCAAAGATCTTGCAGTCTGAAAATACATCCAAAAAGGCAAACATTTAGTGTATTTAAAATAAAAACTGATTGTGTCTTTCTAAGTAAATGACTGAAACGATTTAAATTATTTTCTCTATCATTTTCGCCTTTATCATTATTATTTTTTGGTTTAACATTGCAAGTCAAAAGTAACTTGCAACGTTTAATAAAATAAACAAAATATGTATACTATACAAAGTATTTAGAAAATGAGCTACTATAAGCCAGTGCCTTGCCAGATTTCCAACCTCCATTAAAACAGGGGGCAGGAGGCTTGTTGTAAATATTTCACACTTAATTCGTTTGTTATTTTAAAGCAACCCGCTCCTTACAGCTTAACTGTGGAATATATACAATGATAAGGAAAAGTCCTCTTGGAATTGTAAACTTGCTTGAGCTGTCGCGATCTGAAAAAAATAGGTTTGTATTGGGTTACAAGATAGAAAAGATAGTTTGTTTTGATAACATTTTGACTTTGAGATACTTGGTCATCCAAAGTTGAAGATTTCACCCAGAAGCATTCCAAAAGCTTCTGAGGTGACTTTTAATGTGGAGTCCGAAAACTAGACAACGCAGAATTCCGGAGTGAGTGATTACATTGGGGATTCTTTGCCCGAAGCTATTTAAAGTGACCGGTGTTCAAAATTTGTGTTGTATTGAAAACCCAAAGAAACCGAAATCATAAATTCACACAAGCGAATCGTGCAACTTTCCAACTTCACACACACACACACACACACACACACACACACACACACAGAGATATCGTTACATCTTGGAAAATAAAAAAAGGTTTTGCATGTAAAGGAGTTCAGAGTTTTCTTATTCGTGACGACAGTGACATCCTCTAACGAGCTGTGATGGATTTCAGCTCCTGCTGCCGGGGCGGCGCGGCGGGCTAGCAGAGGAAGCGCGCTGTCTTGACTCAATTACGCTTTATTTACCGCCCTATCAGTTTACGCCTGAAACCTGGATGGAGGGAACCTGGGACCCTTAGGGAACAAGACTGTACAGCCAAAGGGGAACCGCGCGGAGGCAACCTGGTGCCCAGTGCTCCCTTTGCCCTCCAAAGTCGCCGGTAGACAAACACCGCTTCCTAAAACCGGCACTGCTTCTCTCCTTCCTCGCCCTCCCGCTCCTCGCTCCCGCTGTTCTTCCTTCCTTCCTCACTGCCTGCCTGTCCCGAAGGGTCTCCGAACTTCAGATTTGCAGACTGGCTAGCGGCCCTCGGGCTGGGGCTGCCGACTCACCGCTGCTGTCCTGACAGGGCGAGGTCCTCTCCAGGCGCACGTGATGCTCGGCGCGCGGTAGGGGCCCGAAGGCCTGCACGCATTTGCCCGCCGATGCTTTGCTGTAAAAGGACTCATTGTCCAGCGTCTCCATAACATGCTCCAACGCGCCTCCCGCGCCCATGTAAAAGTCACTGTTTTTACTCGGCGGGCTCTTGAGGGCAAACTTCTCGCTCAGAAACTCCATAATCCTGGTAGCTGTCTTCGGAGCTCCCAGGGCGCGGAGGCTGGAGAGCGCTGGGGGAGGGAAAGGGTGGGCGGGAGGAGGGAGGGCCGAGAGGAGGGAAGGGGAAGCGAGCGCTGCGGCGCCGGGAGCTGCCCCGCTCCCAGACCTTTAATACGTCCCGGCTGGAAAGGGGGCACCCGAAGTTGCTTTTATATCTTGAAACTCAGCTGGGCTCCTCGGGCAACCTCCCAGTTCTAATGAATATGAAAATAGGCAGGCGACTAACTCCACCCCGGGTCCCCCTCCGCCCCCAGCAATCCCCACCTTCCCCCACCTCTCCCCACCCCCACGTTCCCCCACTTCCCCGGGCAGGGCGCGTCCAGGCCTAGGTTAGACAGACAGCTCCATAGCAGAGATATGCCAGGAGAGCGAGGCCCCGACACCCAGAAACATTGTCGCAGCGACAGTGGACTGGCATTTCGGAAGAGCTTGGTGAGATCGCAAAGCAGTTAACCCTCCACTCCCCGCTCTCTGCGCCCTCCTGGCGAGTCCGCCCGCCCCCGTCCCTACCCCGCCCCCACGCCGGCCACTTACTACCAGAAAGATTTAGAGGCGTTTTAAGAACTTGAAAGGAAGTATTGCTCTACAGGGTTTTTATTTCATCCGTAAATCGTTTATGTGGAAGATCCACATTAATCCGAATCCGGAGAAGCCAGATACATTGGCAGTTATTAACTGGGGCGGCGGTGGTTAAGGGGCCGCTTCTGCTTCCAACCCGGAGGAGCTCGGTGACCCGACGCTCTCGGCGCTTACCGAGCCCATGGCCCTTCCTTTCCTGCTGGAATGCAGCGGCGTCTGGACTTGGTGGCGTTGGGTGGGAGATGGAAACCCGGCCAGAGGCACAGAAACCGTTATACCAATGCCACCCTATTTCTCCACATTCCTCCCTAGACCTCCCCTTGGTCTACGGTTTTATCATTAGATCCAGATTATTTTTAAAAACTCCATAGGAAAAGTGCCTTCAAAAGGTCCTTAGTAGAGGCCAGAGTGGGTCTCGTTACACAAAGGGGTTTGTGAAAGAGGACGGCCTTCAGCTTTGATTTTTAAGCACTATTATTTCTGCTTTTAAAGAAACGCGGTGGAGTTACTTTGAAAAGCGCGTGCAGGGAGCGAGGGGCGCGCGAGGAGCTGAGCGCCGGACCGAGGTGGTGTCCTGGGCGCGGGTAGGGCTTGGCCTCCATTCCCGCCCGAGGGGATGGTGAGGTTGGCCAGGAGCTGGCCGCTCTCTGAGGACAGGGTAGCACTGCGGGGTTGAAAGACCCCATGTGGCTTTGGAACTGACTCAAGTTTCCGAGGAGCCAGCGGCGTCTGTGGGAAATGCATTCAGGGCCTTGGGCACGCAAAGGTAGCCATTTGCAACAGGTCTCTAAAACTGGCAGATTTGGCGAAAAAAACTCCCACAGGTTGGAGACTAAGGCTTGCGCCTTCCAAGGGAAGCCTCTGATCCTGGGTTTCTCTCACAGGCCCCGCAGCGCCCGTCGCGTTTCCCCAGGCCAGCCTAGCAACCATACCCCGGCCTTGGGTATGTTGGGCAGCCCAGCCCCGACTTTGGGAGTGGCGTGGCTAAACCCAACACTGGCAGGCACCTGGACATCCGGATGCGTTCGGAAATGTCCAGCCTCTTCGGGATCTTGGCTGACCCAAGACTCAGTGGCAGGCCCTTTTCGAGGTCAGGACAGGCCGCAGCCAGGTAGAAACAACCATGGAGCGCTGCGCAACTCAGGCTGGTATTCGGCACTACCCCAGAAGCCAGGCGGGCGGAAGCACCCAGGTCGGGTCTGATGGGACTCGAGCCCGCGGCCCGAAGCAGCAGCCTCGCCTCTCCCTCCCGAGTTGCTTCTCCCGAGCAGGGGCACAAACTCAGTTCACGTGGCGCTGCGCACAGAGGGGCCTTGGGCGCGCAGTCAGGTTCTGGAGAGTCGAACCTATTCCTGTAATTATGTATCTTTTGCTGTATTATTATGACGGTCTCCCGAGCCCTGCAACCGGCACCTATAGGGAATTGTTAAATCCCAAGGGGGCGCGGTCAAAGAAAAGCTTTCCGGGACTGCGATCCGGGAGTAAGCCAGATTGCAAGCCTCTGGAAATCCAAGGCTGGCATCCTTGGCTGGGGCACCCCAAAAAAACCTCAGTAAAGACTTGGGTACCCGAGCTTGCTTGAGGAGCAGCAGCCACGCTTTTCCTGGGCACTTTCTAGCGGGTTCTTTGGCCGCCTCTGCTGGAAAGTTGCGTGTAGAGTTATCCACTCACTCCTGTGTGGGCTGATACTTTTTCATGCTGAATCCCTCTCTAGTACCTTACCTTCAGATATTCGGAAAGTCGGACTTTCTCTAATAAACACGAAGAGGATAAAAGAAATGGCCTTTTAGTAGATTTTTTTTTTCTTTCTAAAAAATCACAGCAGCAAGAATGCCTTGCAGACTTGAGGACATACACAAACAACTCCTAGCTATAAACTTAGTTATGTCGTAGAGCTCTGTCAGCTTGTTTATAAATATGCGTCTTAAGAGCCCTGAAAAACATCCAGTGTCTTTTAAATGAAAGACATATGATGCAAGCTCTAGAGTACTTGTATACCAACAATGGTCCCTCTCCTAGAAGAAACTACAGGGAAGCCAAGGAAGACAGCTTCCTAGTAAGTCCTTTCCATTCCTTACCTAAGACCCATTTTTGATGGTGGTGGTTGGAAGGATGGGTGCAAGGTGTCACCAACCTCACTTAGTATCCCTGGAAACTCCTGGAAATGCAAATCTATTACATGAAATCCTGTGTGTTTTGGGACATGTAACCACATGTGCCTATTACAGAAGGAACAGCTAATGGCAAACTCCCATAAGGAATGCTTAATCTGCAGTTTTTGGCAAGAAGCTGGGTCTCCGGTTGCCAAGAGCGTCATTAAATGAATTTTGAGAGGTTGAGATGGAGTTTATGGGAATGACACAGCTCTAGCCAATGGAGCATTAATAATAAATTTAAAATAATGCCAATTAAAACAATAATAATTAAATTATTTCTAGAGGTCACAACAAGATAGCAGAGATTAGATGGGAGCCTGTCTCACCTTCCCTGAGACATACCTGAGTTTATTCTATCTGATGCTTTGAGAATAACCTTCTTGGAAAATGACTATAGCACTTTGATAAATACTTTCAGCTACTCCATCCAGACCTGCATGGCTATTTCCTCCTCTGCAGGCTTTTAAAACCTGCTCCTAATCCTCATTCCTTATCTCAACCCTCCCCAATTCCAAACAGTCCCCCTTGGCCAGGGCCCCAGAGGCCAGTATTCTGAGGAGCCATCAGTTGGCAAGTAAGACCTGGTTTATTAAGTGAGGTTCTAATTGGGATTTTATCTTAGAAGGCTTAGCCTATCGTCCTCAGGCTGCCACTCCCTTCCTTGCTCCAGCTTTGGATTTCACCTCTAAGAGTATTAATAGCTCATCTCTTTCCATAGGAGAACCTGGGTTCTAATCCCAGGATTCTGCTCCCCATCTTTCATGTCAATCAAGAAATCCACTAGGAATACAGCTGCTTGCGCTTCCTTTTCTCCTTTGCTCTAGGAGGGGCAACACTTGTAGGAGGTGATAGGTGAGAGTGGGAGTAGGAGAGAGACCGAGTTGGAGAGCTTTCAGTTTCTTCTAAAGCCTAACAAAATATTGGATGTTTTAGGATTCCAGCCCTTCAGATCTCTGTGTAGTCAGTGATGCTTCTTCGAATCTCCTTGATGGGAATGAAGCGCAGTGTAGTAATGTGCAGAGTCCAGGAAACAAAAAATGAGGGTTTACAAGACCTATTGCAGGTTCAAGTCTCGGCCTCTTTGAACCATTGTTTTCTCTTCATTCCTCTGGCACCATCAGATGCTAACACAGCGGAAAGGCTATTTTGTGAAGTGACTCTGATTTGAAGTTACATCTAACATTCCCACAAACAGCTTGTGGCGGTGGTTGTTGCTATTGTGTGCCAACTCCCAGACATAGAGATTTGGGGTATTTTAATAAAGTTATCTTTATTTTGTTCTATTTAGAGTCTAGAATTAAAGTAATTGAATAAATTAAACTACTTGAAAAGTCCTCTGAAATGACTATTTGACTACACACACACACACACACACACACACACACACACAGGTAAATTCAGATGAATCAGGTTCAGATAAGAGATGGTCCGTCTGTCAGCTTAACTTATTTATATTTTGAAACAAAAATTCTCAAGGTTTAAAAGCTGCTTTTAATGCCCCCGCCCCCATGGGAATATATTTTTGGAAATGAAAAATATTTGGAGTACATACATCAAAGCAGCAGTTGAGGCAATGGGTGGAGCACTCTAGTTCCTTTCTCAGTTTATTGAAAGAAACGTCACACTTGTATAGCGAAAGTGGGAATGCTAAAATAGGATTGCAAGAATTTTAATCTTGGCACTTTCTTTTGCGGGTGAGTTTGATGCATATTAGTGACGCTAGTAAAAATGCGTGCTGAATCAGATGAACTATGCCAAATGTAGAAAAGCAAGGGTCTGGAGAAGGGAAGGGAAGCTGGGTGGAGGGAAACTCTCATGAAAAAGCACTAAAATAATTGAATGTCATGTATGTTGGCAAGAAGCCAGGTGGCCTCATGTTTGTGTGTGCTCCGCTGCTGTTTTCTTTCCCGGCTTCATCTTCAGCCTTCTCACAGTTCTACAGACAGAACAGATACAGAAGCATATCTGCATGGAAGCAGCTCAAGAGGCTTTCATCAAGATAAAGATAGATGCACACACAGAGAAATACTTAAGGTTTTCTTTAAAACATATGTCCCAGCCCAACATCGTCTACTCTCAAAGACACACCCACGGACTAATATAAAACTTTGTCACATTTTTGAAACTTCTGAATTTTAGTTCAAAAAACCATGACCTGAATCTGAATCAATTCTGTCAGTTTTTCAAGTGTACTGTCACAAAGCTCTCAAATATAATGGATTCAAATGAGCTGTGATTTCAATAAGATTAGGTATTTTGGCATTTTAAAAACTCACAGAATTTTTCAAAAGCTATGCTTGTTTTAGAATTTCAACTTGTTTCAGTAATAGTTTTTCACATAGTTGCCCTTTTCTTAGAGAGAGAAATAGATTTGACTACC